AAGGAGAGAGAGGATCCCCTTGCCTAAGACCTCTTGTGGCTTTAAAGAAACCTTTGGGGCTACCATTCACATTAATGGAAAAATGAGCCGTTGAGAGACATCCATAAATCCATTTCGTTCAATTAATACCAAAACCCATTATGTGCAGGATTTCATCAAGGATTCCCTATTCCACTATGTCATAAGCCTTCTCCATATCCAGTTTGACAAGAATTCCAGTCATACCACTTTCTACTGTTGCATGAATACATTCATATGCTATCAATACACTATCCATTATCATTATCCCCTTGATAAATACAGATTGTTTCCTATAAATAATAACATAAAGTACGTTTTCAATCTCTCTACCAATACCTTAGAGACAATCTTATATAAACTGATTAACAGGCTAATTGGCCAAATATCATTAATACCCACAATCGATGATTTTTTTGGAATCAAAGCAATAAATATAGAATTAATTCATTTATTCAATTTACCACTTTGCATAAAATCATTGGCCATAGATAAATGCTCATCCTTCAGTAAAGACCATAACTTATGGAAAAATAAAAGTGGAAATCCATCAGGTGCTTTACCACTAGGAAATGCAAATACTGCATTATTAAGTTCTTCCATTTCAACCCTCATTTCCGAATCATGTGTAATATCTTGAGAGAGAATATTCAAAGGAACACCCTATAAACTAACTCAACATAGTTGTTCACAAGAAAAATGGTTGATAAATTCATTTTTCCAAGCATTATTATCAAAATGTTCCACCTTGTCAAACAAGATACCCAAAATATCATTTTGTTGACGTTGACCATCAGCAATACAATAAAAGAAATGTGTCTTTAAATCCCCTTTCTTCAACCATTTCACTCAAGATCTCTGTTTCCAATAAATTTCATCATTTCTTATTAATTCATGCATAGTATTAACAAGAATCTCTCTATCATTCACCAAATCTACCAATGTAAAACCTTGATTCAACATTATATCATCAAGATCACTAATACGACTCATAGTCTCATCAATTTTAGTCCTTAAGCAAAAATTCATCTCCTTCTTCCATTGAAGTAATTTTTTTCTCAGTTTCCTAAAGATACAACATCCAATCTAAATGATCTATGTCCAAGATGAATGATTGGAGACACTATTATTAGACCATGCAAATTCTGCTCCATTCAAAGGTTAATCTATGAGTTTATTTTGTTGAATAAAGCTATTGAAAAGATACAAAAAGGAGTTTATAGGATTATTTGAGGTGGATTCATCAAACCAACATACAAAATTAAAGTCTTCCCCTACACATACCGGTAAACCACAATGAGCAATTATACTAGACAATTCTGAAATAAAAGCAGGTTTAAGAATATTATCATTTTGGCCGTAAACATTTATCAAAACCATTTGAAAGAGCAAAGAGGTCATTCTAAAATGATACCAATAAGTCTATCCCATAAGATAACATCATCAACAACAAAAGAAGATGGGTCCCAAATACACCAAAGACAGAAGATCCTATTGAATCTATACCCGCAAAATGGCAAGAACCCCTTCCCCATATGGAATGCATAGACCTTACCTCCGGGCTTGGGAATTTGGTTTCCTATAGCATTAAGATATCTGGCCTTTCTTTCCTGAGCAAAAAAGACAGCTCATTTTTTCTGCAGATGGTTCCCAAGCCACATACATTCCAACTAAGTATCTTCATGAACTTTAGAGCATTTCCCGACCCTGGCAAAGGATTGTAACTTGGCAGGTCCAGAACTGTCATCATCATTGCTTAAAACAACTCTATCTCCACGATTTTGAGAAATAACCACTCCAATACGAGCTTTTAATTTTCCAGCAATATTGGCAGAATGACAAGTTCCTCTCATAGGAGCTTTCTTCTTTTCATTTTTCACCACCGTCTCATTAATCATATCTTCTATAGCAATAGAGATTAGGTAATCATTGTTAAACTCATTTGCTTCTCCTCCATATTTCTCTCTAAGAGTATCAAACACCAGCAGCAAACCATCACCAAAATTAGCACCCATAAGTTTAAAAGTTACTTCATACTCCTGATCCATATTAGAATACTGAGGAACACGAAAATTTGCAACATGCTTTTGATTATGAAGATTTGGTTCCTGAAAACCCAGCTACCCCGGCATAGCAATTTCTCCAATATGCGGTTCCTTTACATTGAGTGGAGGAGGCACGAAATCTACTTCATCATCAGACCAAAAGCCAGGATGATCACCAATCGCCAGAGAGACAGATTATGGTGCTAGGTAGATAATGTCGTGATTGTCTCCTCCTTCATCCAATACAACTTTTGGTATATCTTGTTCTTTTTGTATCACTCTTGGATGAAACCACACTGCTTTTTTATGTGCAGTCTTACGAAAAGGCTCTAGTCTTTCTGCCATTCTATGTTGAAGCAAACCAGAGTTCTGTAGAGTACCCATCTGTCCCGTTGATCGAGAAATGGTAAAGAAAAACACAAATACATGTTCTTCTGAGCCACTGTTATCCCAGAGTCCAGTCTTCTGGTGTATTGAAATGCTAGTTCAAGTTTTCTGCTGTAGGTTAAGTGAGGATGAGCAATCTTTACCGAACCTCTATATCTTGGAGAAGACTCTTCCTATCCACCTGGTGACCATTGCTTATCTCACCAATCAAATTGCCGATATTCATTTGATGCACTTTGACATGACAATAATATCACTATCACCCTTCTGGTTGCCAAAATTCAAATTGGAACTTGAAGCATCGTGATTACCCAATTGCTCAACAATGGGTTGTTTGTTCGTTTTATGATATATCCGTACATGCTTAACGAGCTTCCATACTTTTTGAATTTTTTTTAGATTTATTGTCAACTGACTCACCTCCAGGATTTACTCCCCGAATGCCACCTGTCCATCCCTGTCCTCGAAATGTGGATCTCTGATTGTCCTCTAGGATTTACTCCCCAAATTCCACTAGTCCATCCCCATCCTCAAAATGTGGATCTCGGATTGTCCGCCATAGCTTCCAGTTTCCTCTGTAAAAACTTCCAAGTCCAATACAATTATGACTCTTTTGCTTCCTATTTCTAATCACATGATCATTATCAATGTCACGCAAAGGAATATAACTTTCCTGATGCGGATTATTCAAAATATTCAAATCTTCCACCAAAACATCATTCAAGAAATCTTCATAGTTAATTGATAGACCGATTTTGTTTGGAAAAGGAGAAAACTTGTTTCTATATACCTTTTATTCGGACATATGAAATATCTGAACCATTTAGGGTCTCTCAATCTACACTCATAAAGTCTGCACACTGATTACCCAAACATTGAAATACAACAATATTCCAAGCATGCAAGGGACCTCCCAAAATTTTATCCAGTATGCCTGCTTTTGAGCTAAGGACATATGAGCATTACTTTTCCAAGCATCAAGCGAATATAATTTTCTTCGAACTCTCCAGAAATGAGTTTGAAGAACTCGACTAACCTCAAAATCTGATCTTAAGAAAAAACCAAGCTTAAAATTTTCCAGAAGTTTAACTCGACATTCATAAGATAAATACCATGCCCGTTTCTCCCAATTCCCAAGGGCAAAAAGGTCCTGAGACGGGGAGATAAAGAACCTACCACAATTGTTTTAGCATCTTTCATAAATTCACCAAAATCTTCTTTATTCAGAGATTCATAGACACCAATCAATACATCTCTTTACGTGGAGAACGCATTCATCTCGACAAAGGGCGTGGGCGTGATCTTATAGTTGATGGAAAACTTTTGCCTACTTTGTCGATCGTTATCTCCATCTCTATGGAGATGGAGATGAGCATATATTCTATTTTTTTTTTTGGGTAATTCAAAAAAGCATATATTCGCGACATGTAAAGGTTCGTTGGTAAATTTGAGGAAAAAAAGACGAATTTTGAATTTTTTTAAATTTAAGGGATATTATTGATAACTTCCTCATAAATATGTCAATAATTACTTTTTAGATAAAAACCAACTTTCTGGGTTTTTTTTTATCGTTAACTTTCTGAAAATATCTTTCAAAGGAGCACGACCCCAAAACTCTAGAATGAGACTTCTCACTTAGTTTTTGTCTTGTATCAAAGAAAAAATTCATTAAAATTCCCAAGAATGAGTAGATGCAAAATTCCTTTACCTTGTTATATGTGGGTGTGGTTTGAATAAAGGCGAAGGCCTAAACAATAAAAGTAAGGTGTTTTAAGGATCCGGTTTCTATGCGGTCAGGCCTGTAGAAATGGACTTTATTACATAAATTGTAAGGATATATAATCTTTAATATGGTGATCATGAATATGAGAAAATAAATATATTTAAAAAATAAAAAATAATAATTTTGAACTGTTAGTTTCCATTTCTTTTAGATCGAACACCTATTTGCATCCATCTTTAAGATGGATGCTTTACATTTTTTTGGGCCGCATACGTAGAAATGCGATCCAGCTCATATGAAACAATTTTTCTTGTTTTAATACTGGAAATCCTTGTGGTGCTTTGAAAATTCATTTCTATCTCTAATTATAAAATTTAAAGCTTAAAAAATAATGTAGATCGAACAAATCAATGAATACTTGAAAATTGTGAATAATAACATTTCTAAAAATACATTACAAGATAAACTATTTTCAATACTTTAAATCCATTTTGCTCATGTCTATGAATCTTGAGGTCGAAATAATCAATTTGAGGATTTTTGAGCATCGAAACAACCTCTTCTAGTGAAATGTTTTTGATGCGCCTTAAATTGATTGTTCAAGGCCTTACACTTATATAAATTTTGTTTTTTGTTATATACAGGAGAAGAAAAATGCCACAAACCCAGTCGTGAGTCGCGTTCTCAAGGATAATTTTGCACAAAAAGGATTGAAAAGGATGTTGATTAGATTTTCCGAAAAGGTTATGTCATTTTCAGTCATTTTCTCATGGAAATATGACCGTTGGGGACGGGTTGCACGGAATTCAAACGCCATGGGCCTGCAATTTGCTTTTGGCATCGATTCCTTATCAGCAAAGGCAAAAAGCCCTCTCTCTCAGTCTCACCATTAATGGCATCTTCATGAGAGGACTCCCTTTTCTCTCACTCGTTCCCTCTCTCTCTAACCATAATCGTAATATGCGAAGTTCCCCCCATATAAAGCTAAGGAAGAGGAAGAAGAAGCAAAAGGTTATTCGTTAATGGCGAAGAGAGTTGCAGAGGAGATATCAGAAGAAGCGCATCCTTATGATTTCCACGTCTCAGGCCCTCGCAACCTTTCCACCCCTAATTGGAGAGAAATCATCAATTCTAGCTGGTTCGTACCCATCAGCTCTCTCTCCCTCTCTCATACAGAGTTTAGTGTCTTCACACTCGCTTATAGTAAGTTGGGGACTCGGGGTTTTGGTGTTTTGACTCTGTATCTTAGTTCCTTTGATGAGTGTTGATTCTGTTTCTCTCTTTTTTCCCATGATTTTGGCATTTCTTTGTGGGGATTTCAGCATAGAATATGGGGTTTATATTATTGGGTTTCTCCATCTTCTTTTTTTTTCTTGATCCAGATCTGGAGCACATTGTTTGGGTTTTCAATGAAAAAACGTGTTATTTCTCCCATGATTTTTTGGTGGTTTTTTTTTTTTTCTTTGGAGGGTTCCACAATCAATACCACGTCCCGTCTAGATTCTTTAGGGCACCATTGATGTGAGAAGTTTCTTATTGTTTTTGCCAAATGTATGGAGGGTCTTCAGTCCACATGTGTTTTCTCATTGTCTTACTGTGAAATCAGGGTATTTTCCCATCTTTTCCTTTTCAAGATTTCAGTGGACAATATTGGGCGGGTTGCGCACTGATCCCATCATTATGTGTGTTTGTTCTGCCTTTTCATTCAGATTGCAGCACATATGAAACGGGGATTTCAATCCATTTTAATTAATGGACGCCTCAGTTTCTTGCTTGTTTCAGGATGCAGTTCAGATATCATTGGAAACCTCAGTTATATGAGCCATTTTAATCTAGATATCAGATGGACATGATTTTTTGTGCTATATGTGAGGTACTTATAGAGTGATCGAGTCAAGATATACAAAGTAAACTGTATAAAGGATTTCCTAAACTTCTGAGGAAATATCAAGCATACACTGGTCCTTCTACTCTGCTACTCTCGAGTTTTGGGTATTTTGAGCTCAAGTTGGGATTTTCTTGTTAGATTTTCGCATAGATATCCACTTGAGAAGAGAGACTACTTTATCAGAAAAAGATGCAATATTAATGGTTATTAATAGTATCAGAGTAACTTTCCATGTCGTTGGGTTGTTATCTATCATTCATGGCGTTGCTCAATCCAGGGTTGCATCAGTAATTCTGTTTGCTGATTATCTCTACTAGCTCTCTTAGCTCTTTTGTGTTCATCTACTTGTATTGATGCTTGTGCAAGAACAATTTTTGAAGGATCGACTTTCAGTCACTGTCTGATTTTAAGGCCAAATTGCAATGTTGGTCAGATTGAAAATATGTCACCCGCAATTTGACTTTAAGAGGTTTTTTATTTTTAACTTTAAAAGTCGAAATGATTTTTATTTTCAATTGGGCCCCCAAAGTTGATTTTTTGTTGCAAAGCTACTTAAACTGGTTTTGTAAACTATTAAAGCTCTCTCTCTCTCTCTTGACTTGATTGTATTCCAGGAAGAATGAGAATCATAGATGAGTTCTTGCCAATTAGGATTGATCTAACTAACTTTGCAACTACGGGTGCTTTATCTCGTTTTTGTGGGGTTAAGCTGGGTTATGGTAGCATTTATGTGGGTGCTTTCAACATGGCATATATTCAACTTTTAAGGGTATAGTTTGTATAGAGCCGAGGCTCTAAACAATCAAAGTAAAGCCCACCTTCAAATATTATCAAGAAATGTGGTTTCAATACTATATATCTTTGTGATAGCCTTAAAATGTATTTTTATCATTAATTATAAAATTTAAAGTTTAAAAAATAGTATAGATCGAGCAGAATATGAAAACTTGAAAATCTTAAAAATTGATGGTCCAAAAATGCGTAACAAGAAGCACTATTTTGAAACTTGAAATCTATTTTTCTCTCGTATCATGCATCTTGATGTCGAGATGAACAACTTGAGGATATTTGGGCATCAAAACAACCTCTTTTAGTGAAATTTTTGAAGTGGGCTCTAATTTGATTGTTTAGAGCTTTGGCTCTATATAAACTTTTTCCTACTTTCAATTACACCGGTATTAAAATGATTGGTATTAACAGCAAACATCCCCCTTTCTGTCTCTTTCATATGTCTTTTTATCTGCCTCTCTATATATGTGAGTTTTTTTGTGTTGTATGTGCGTTTCCTTTCTCTTCATCCTCTTTATATATCTCAACTTAGTTTTTTTATCAGGAAGGATGTGAACTACAGAAGAACAGTAGTAGCCTGCTTCGTTCAGGCAGTCTATCTCCTCGAACTCGACCGCCAAGAGAACAGATCAGAGGACAACGCCCTTGCCCCAAAATGGTGGAGGCCATTCAAGTACAAGCTCTCCCAAACCCTAGTCGATGACAGAGACTCCTCCATCTTTGGGGCCATTTTTGAATGGGACCGAGCCTCTGCTATGTCTGATTTCATTCTCATTAGACCTAGTGGAGCCCCAAGGGCCGTCTTGGCCCTTCGAGGGACTCTCCTAAAGACCCCAACTATTCGGAGAGACTTGGAGGATGATTTACGGTTCCTAACTTGGGAGAGCCTAAAGGGTTCAATCAGATTTACCAGGGCTTTGGAGGCGCTAAAGTTAGCAGTGGAAAGATTTGGGAGCTGCAATGTGTGGCTTGTTGGCCACTCTCTAGGTGCTGGCTTGGCCCTTCAAATAGGCAAAGCGTTTGCTAAACAAGGTATCTACATAGAAACCCATTTGTTTAATCCACCCTCGGTCTCTCTGGCCATGGGACTAAAGAGCATTGGGGAGAAGGCAGAGTATATTTGGAAGAGGATTAAGAGTGCGGTGGAATTGGGCAAGGCCAAAATGCCATCAAACAGTAGTAATGAAGTTATTACTGTTGCTGATATTGAAGAGTTAGAAAAGAGTGAGAGTGAAGGAAAAATGAGCACAGGATTGAAGAAGTGGGTGCCTCATTTATATTTGAATAATAGTGATTATATTTGTTGTTATTATATGGATCCAGCAGCTGGGCCAAAGCCAGAGGGGGATGGAGAGGAGGGGGTGAAGAAGGCAGGAGGGCAATTGGCAGCAAAGCTTTTTGTAATGTCAAAGGGGCCACAAAAATTCCTTGAGGCACATGGTTTGGAGCAGTGGTGGTCTCATGATATGGAATTACAATTGGCCTTGCATAATAGCAAGCTCATAAATAGGCAGCTGAAATCACTGTACACCATTCCACCTCAAGTTGAGAAGCCTTAGTAAAAGGCTGAATATGCTGTGTGGCCTTTGTTTTCATGTTGTTTGATCCTTTTATTGATTTTGAGAAATGCCTTTGAGGTGTGATTTCTGCTCTGATTCTTCTCGAGTTACAAAGGTAACACGTGTTCCATTTTGTGATAATAAAGGTCAGAATGTGTCCTCCTTTTTCCTTTCTGATTTTCCTTTTTATGGCATTTGAAGGACTTTATAAGTCTGTGAGGTATTAAGAGCTAATAATGAGTTTGATAAGCTAGAAATAAGAAACCAACAAATGTGCAAGAGAACAGACAAAGAAAGATGAAACGAAGCACATTGTGGCTTTAGGATTTTATGATTTTTCTATATCTCTAGCATGTCTTTACTGAATTAAAAAGAATTGAAACCAACTGATTATTGTGAAATGTGAAGACATATCGGTCTGTCACATATTCTGTGTCATTTTTTTACGCAATTTTTTCTCAATATGAACATTGCTCATCAATTGATTTTGCTTCCCAACAATTTCTACTAGCCCCATGAATCCTTCACTTATTATTATTCTTGGCTAGTTCAGCCTGTAGTTTGAGCCTTGGAAATGGGGTGCAATCGTCCACATTGTTTCTAATCGTGCTAGAGCTAGAGTCCTTAAATCCTTTTTTTAGTACCATGTAACTCTCTTTCCCTTAAGCCTCTAACTGCTAGAATCCCTCTCAAATGTTATGAACCATAGAAAAGATATATCTTTGCTTCCCCCTTTTCTCAAACCCCACATTGCCATTGCATTTCTATCCGTCCACGCTTTGATGATGATGATTGTTATTTTTATCCTTTATCTTCATGGATGGAATGGAACAACCCCTTCTAGGTGATTGGTTTTGTTTGGTATGCACCAAACTTTGCCAAGTTGACTCGGGCTCTGAAACTTGTACTCGGTTATATAGAAGGACACAAATTCTATGAGTCCACGTAGAAATGAGTCACCTCTTAAAACTCTATTTTTGAGATGGATTTTTGGATGTAATTTTTAAGGATATGTAATCTCTAACATGAAGATCATAAATAAATTTTGAAAATTAAAAATAATAATTCAATTAAAAAACATTTGATTTGTTCGTTTCAATTATTTTTAGATACACCACCTATTTGCATCTATCTTTAACATGAATGCTTTATACCTCTGGGACCACAAATGTAGAAATGTGGTCCTCGCTGCATAAACAATTTTCCATAGAAGAATCATAAAAGCTACACTTTTGTCAAAAGATTCGTGGGAGTATACTCTCTATTTACTCCCTCAGATAAATCTTACCCTAGGAATATCTCTTCGATCTCAAATATAGGGGATGTGATCTCTGCATTTTGGCAAATGACCTCAAAGAAAAAAAAAATCAACTTTCACTCTCTATGTACCTAAAAAAAGTATCATCCTTAGGTTTCGCCAGAGCTGTTGAATTTTTTGAGGGAATGATCTAGATATTTATAAACTCAGAATCTAAATTTTCTTTTCTTTGAAAATAATCATCTATTTATTCTTAAATAGATCCCAAAACTTCAAATAATTTAAAAAAAATCTCTCAAGTTGGGGTTTTGCTGGAGGGAGTAAATGTATATATGCTCCCAAGGGAGCATAGTATACGTGCTCCCAAGGGAGCATAGTATACGTGCTCATATGTTTTTACTAAATCATTCTATAAATAATATATATATAATTTTAATAAAAGCACATATACTTGCTTCCTCGGGAGTATAGTTTACTTCTACACCCTTGGTCAGATGATCTATTTGGGAGGTTTTTTTTCAATATGAAATTATGGTAACCACTTTAGAATAACTAAATGATTATTCTCAAATAAATTTTAAAATTCAAATTTAAGTATTCTAACACATAGATATCACCTTTTTAAAATTGGATATGTTTCCATTCAACCTTGAGACATTAATATTTTCAAGTGTTTGGAATGTGCAATTAGGAAACTTTTTTAATTGAGGTTAATTTATAATTTAAATAGGTTATATCCCCAAATTTTGGGTTCCTAAAACTATTTACCCGAGAAAGTAAATAGACAGTATAATCATAAGGGAGTAGGATATGTTTTGGCTTTTATAATGATTTGTAAGTTTTTCTTATTATATGCTATATTTTTCTATTATTTCCCTTTTTGGATTTTTCTGAATTGTTACCCGTTATAAATCAATTGTTTCCAAATTCCATCCTTAATATATTTCTTTCATCTTTTCTAAACTTTTAATATGTTTTTATTTGGGAAAATATCTCGATGCACCCACCCTATTTTTCGGTTTCTTTTTTTTCTGGACTCAAGGTTTTAAAACCTATCTTCTGACCCCCTTAGACTAATTTTTTCATTTTTACTCATTTTTTTTGTCTAAACGAATTAAAAAAAAACATCATTTCTAAATCTTCTCTCTCCACACGTTTCTCTTTCTAAACCCCCTCTTTCTCTCCCCATGGATCTCCAAACCCCTCTTTCTCTCTCCCTCATGAATCTCCAAACCTCTCTCTCCTGTACTTTCCCCCAACTCTTGGGGAACAAGGCTTCTTTCTCTCTACCTATGGCAACATGGACCAACAGATCTCATTCAACTGTATCGGCCTATTTTTGAGATCCAAGAGAAGGGGTTTGTCTTTGCTGTAGAGTATGAATTTGCGGCAAGGTCAAAGTGGCTTGGGAGTTTGTGAGCCAGTACTGGGGAGAGAGAAAAATAGTATTTTGCTCTGATAGAGAAGAGAGAGATGGTATTTTACATTTTGGTAGAGGGAGAATGGTATATTCATTTTTTGGAGAGAGTGAGTGATTGTGATGTTCCTTTGAAAGGAGAGAAATTGTCTGTCGTTTTTGTAGAGAGATACCCAGTGTATGGCTTTTTCATGGAAAGGGAGTCCCTATGAATTTTTTGTTTTAGAGAGAGAGGGAGATTGTGGGTCAAAAAGAGCAATCCGCTTTTGTTTTAGAGGGAAAGGTGGGTCAAAAAGATCAATCAACATAAAGAGAGGGATTGTAGGTCAAAAAGAGCAGTAGATAACTTCATCGCAAGTGGAGTGGCGTTGGAGGTTTTGGGATTAGAAGATACGATAGATAAAATCTTGATGTACCAAGATAGATTTTGAAACTTTGGGTATATGGAAAAATGAAATTTAAAAATAAAGTCTATAGAGATATTTTTTTTTTTTTATTTTATTTTAAACAAAATTTTTTATTGAAAAAAATATCTCCATATCTTTTACTTTTAGGTTTCAGTTTTTTATAAACCCAAAGTTTCAAAAGATATCTTCTAACTCCATGAACACTTTAAATTTATTTTTTAACCTAAACAAATGTGAGAATGATATGCTCTTTTTAAACCCAATCATTTCTCTCTTCACTTATATACTCAAAACTTCTCTCTTTTTCTCTCTCTTCATATGTCGCTCACTCTCTCTCTCCTCCTGTGTTTATCTTTTCTCTCTCCTTCCAATAATCTCTCACATCCATGAAGCCCTTTTTTCTCTCTAGAAGTTTGGGAGTATGGCTTTTGGAAAAGGCTTGTCTTTTTAGCTTTGTTTGGCCTAAAAAAGCAGGTTTAAATTAGTTAAGGAGTTGGAAGAAATAAAATATATTATTGTTATACCCCAAGATATCTTTTAAAACCTAGGGTTTATTGTAAAATAAAACTTAAAAATATGAGATATAGAGATATTTTCCCTTTTTATTTTTTTGTGTTTTAATCCCTCTCTTGGGGCTTGTGTTTCAAAACCGAGTAATTTAACCTTGGTATGCACTAGGATGAACATATGATGGTGCTTCATGTTTCACTCATGCTATTCAAGTTTGATCGTCCACTACAGACGCATGCTTTGACCAGTAATGTTTACATAAAAAATTTGATCGTTCAGATAGAAACCAGATTAAACACCTATGTGCAAAAGAAATCATAAGAGAACCATAAGAACTTATAGAATTCGAAAGGGGTGTAAATATAGGGAGTGTTAAAGTTTCTTATAAAAAGGAGTATCAAGTTCTTATTGTGGAATGGAATAATTAAGCTGAGTTTCTTGGAGAGGAGCTAACACTTTTGTTAAAAGATCCAATGCTTATGTAGAAGTGCTTTCTCCATTCACTCTCTTAGATGAAAACCCAATTTAGGAGTATTTTTAGGCCAATCCAAACTCCAACTTCTTATTGGAAATAATAATATTGTGATTCTTAAATATTTTGATGATGATGATGATTCTTGTAGCTGACCTCAATAAGTTGGGAAAAAAGTTTTGTTGATGATAATTCTTAAATGTTGTTTTTCCCTTTTCAGTGAAAGTCAACGAAAATAAAAATTAGAGGAGCATATATGAGGATAGTTTCATGGTATGTAGGCATGGGGATTGTTAGTGATTCTTAAGTGGATCTCAAAATTTTAGATCTAAAAATTCCTCCCAAACAACCCTTTCACCCAAAGGAGTAAGGCTTTTGAAAGTTCTTTTTGAAAATGATAATATGGTGATGCTCATGTGGATCTCAAAATTTAGATTGAAAATTCCTCCCAATAGCTCATTTGCCGAAGGGAATATTGAGAATAGATGGAAGTAAGTTGGAAAAAAAAAAAAAAACAGGACAAAAGTTCTCTTTGTAGAAGAGATTGCAGATACTACTTGTTTACATGCCATTGATCTCCAACTCCAACTCCAAATTGTTTTTGAAAATAGCAATATTGTGATTCTTGTGCAAGCCCCAAATTTGAGAGCTAAAAATCCTCCCATGTAGCTCATTATCCATTCCTCGGGATAATGAGAAAAGATAAAAACCGAAAAAAGAATGTTATTGGGAAATTATAAAAAATTACCTTTTAATTTAAATTTTTGGAAGTAAGCCTCAAACTTTTCAAAACCTCATCCATGCCTATTTTCTTCACTTTTTATATTTTTTTAACAAAATAGCCTTCATGGACGGTTTGATGTTTTGAAGCATCATGACACTTAAAAAGCTGTGATGGGGCACGAAGGCGGGAGTGGGTGAAAGATCATCACGATTATTTTATGATTGTGATGCTTAGGTAAGAGTATAACAGTTAAATTAGAACCATATTAGTCCAACAAACCATCACGGTTCTTTAAGTGTCGTAATGCTTCAAACTATATTTGACTTACAGCCCGCTATGACCATCACGATTTTTAATAGACCATAATGTGCCTTCACAATTCTAATACTA